TAAAGCTGTGAGAGAAAACATGTTAAGTAATTGCTAGGTTTTTCTATGACAACACCATACCTTTCAATGTGGCAAAGTGGGAAAGTCTAGTGCTATGTTTGATTTGGATTTAAACCTCTATCCTATCATGAAATTGATGTCATATATTTGAAGGAGGAAGTGAAAACATCACTTGCTTTAAAAGCACATAGGGATGAATGGAAGAAAATTGAATGAACGATTATGATTGATGGTTGGACTGATAAAGAAGGACAATGATAAATTTCCTAGTGAACAATCAAAGAGAATTGTTTATGAAGTCAGTAGATTAATATGCTATATTCAAAATAGTTGAATTTTTTTTAGAAGATGGATAACACTGTTGAAGAGGTTGGGGAAGAAAATGTTGTCTAAGTTGTGATAGATGTAAACTTTGAGGGTACAGTCAAATGTCAAGACACAGAAGAAAAGACTATGTTTCACACCATTGTGTTGACTCTGTTAAAGGATTATGACAAGATCTCAATTCACGAGGAGATAATTCAAAAAGGTAAAAAAATTACAACCTTTATCTATTCAAGAACTTCTTTAATTTCTATACTACAACATTTCACAAAAAGAAGAGATTTGGTTAGGCCAAGTATTACTTACTTTGCCACATTTTACTTGACATTTGTGTGCTTTCATGAGATAAAAGAGCTTTAATTAGAATCTTTACTAGTTATGAATGGACGTCTAATAGGTTTGCTAAAATAAAGGATAAAAAAACAGTTGAGTATGTGGTTTTGGATGAAGATTTTTGGACGAATATTATAACTTGTTTGAAGGGTGCATTGCGTCTTTCTGAAGTGCATCAATTGGTTGATAACTAGTCATGGTATTCATTTATCAAGAATGGACCAAGCTCATGATAACATTCAAAAGACTTTCAATTCTATCAAAACAAGGTATCCAGTCTAACTATTTGTGTAGTTATTTCTTAAGTTAGTGATTTTGAAACTAAAATAAAAACCTAACTTAATGTAATAGGTTTTTATTAGTTATTTGCCTTTGTGTAATATCATTGATAAAAGGTGGGACAAACATCTTCATAGGGCTTTGCATGGTGTAGGCTATTTCCTTAACCCTCAAAAGCATTATCATCCTGGATTTAAAGCTAATTTGGAAATGAAATGTCTAACAAAGATGGTGAAGGATGAGAGTGAACAAACTTTTATTGATGTTCAAATTGACAATTTCAAAAAACGAACAATATTTTGGATGTCCCTTGACCACTAGGTCAATTAATTTAAAGACTGCAGCAAATTGGTGGGAGCCTTATAGTGATGGTTTAGACATTATTAATTTGAATGGTGAAAGATACGGAATTGATGGAATTGAAAGTATATGTGGAGATTATGATTTTAGCCTACAAGATTATTTGCTTTAGATGGATGATTATTTTGTAAGTTGGAGAGAATTTCTATTTGGAAGTAGGTTGAAGCTATTGGTTTATTGGTTTTCTGTAAAAGAATAAATGAAAAATTGAAAAAAATATTAAAACTGAGATAAAAACATTTGGCCTCTTTTTATTCAACTATCCCAAACTACTAAGTCTAACTGATGTAATTAATTGATAAAAATTATTTTATATATACTGCTATTATATTTGTTGATGGTATACTTACTCTCCCGAATATGATCGATTGTGTGAACTAACTATTATAAATGATTGCTTAAGATAATAAATTAAAGTACACAAATGAATAATATGTATTTTTTACCCAATTATAAATTATTGTTATATGTGGGACCCATCCTTGCTAAAACAAGGCTATTGAGTGGTCGATAATGAGTGACATGATTTATTTTTAAGAGAGACGACAATTGTAATTTTAAATATATATATATATATATATATATATATATATATATATATGTATATATTTATTTTGGTGTTATTTATTTTTTAAAATTATATAGTTATTAATTTGCAGAATGACTCGTCGTAGGAGGTCAAATATATAATTAATATATGTAATATTATTACGTTTAAATTATTTTTATTTATTAACTAAGCCATGACTTTGTAACTTTGGAAATTGTAGAATATAAAGAGTATATAATTTTTTATCTTAAGTTTAACATTTTTGTCCTTTACATCTTTAATTATTATTGTGCATTTTACCTCGTTGAGCATTTTACAACATTAGTTTTAAAATTTTGCATACCGAACCTCTGATTGTATGCTAATGCTAATACGTCAATGTCTCATTGGTAATTTATGGTAATGTCATGTGTATTTCCACATCAGCATTAGTCAAGATATTACTTTGTATATAATTATAATAATTGATATGTAAATTTTAAATATGTTTATAATTAAAATATTAAGATTAAATAGTTTTTCGTCAAATGTTATATGTTAAGAAAAGTATCTACATAAATAAAAAATAATTTTTTATTGTTTTGTTAAATTGTTAAAAGTTTTTATAATTTGTAAGAGTTTAAAAATTACATTTGGAAATTATATGCAATTTCAATAATAGGGTGATGTTATCTTTTAAACATAATTCATATCTTATCCTATCAGTATGTAGTCCATGTCAACTATTGGACAAGATAACAAAATAATGTCATTTGATTTGTTATCTAGTACGCATGAAACATTGGGTAAGATTAAGATTTATATTGCCCTTGTTCTATGATGTTCTTAGCATGTTTTTATATCCTAACTTAGCATGATCACTAAAAACAAAATCTTAAAGAAATTCCAAGAGTCCTAACATAGTATAACAGTACTAACATTCTTAATTCTAAAACAGTTATTGTTTGTTAATGAATGTAAAAGGACATTATATAATTCATATCTTATCCTATCAGTATGTAGTCCATGTCAACTATTGGACAAGATAACAAAATAATGTCATTTGATTTGTTATCTAGTACGCATGAAACATTGGGTAAGATTAAGATTTATATTGCCCTTGTTCTATGATGTTCTTAGCATGTTTTTATATCCTAACTTAGCATGATCACTAAAAACAAAATCTTAAAGAAATTCCAAGAGTCCTAACATAGTATAACAGTGCTAACATTCTTAATTCTAAAACAGTTATTGTTTGTTAATGAATGTAAAAGGACATTATCCAAAACGTTTAAATGGTTTTGTGGCAAAATGTGGATTT